TTTTTTTTTTTTTTTTTTTTTAATTTTATAATAACAAATTTTATTTAAAAAAAAAATATAAGAAGAAAGACGTGACAAAATATCCTTCTTTGAAGGGAAAAGCGTCTTAATCACATTTTTTTTTCTAATGAAAAACAATTATTTTTTATACGAACCAAGCAACTTGGAACTTTTTTAAAAACTAAATTAAAGAATATACATAACGTTGGGAATGAAAAGATAATATCATATTATGAATATTCTCTTATTTTTTTAATATTAGTTGGTAGAAGTTGCCAACAAACGGGTAAGCACTATCGTCGTTGCTATCCGCAAACCCCGCCAAATAGGCTCACAAAAAGCATGCTCCTCCGCACCGCTCTCTCGTTTGCACTACCGCCGCCCAGCCATTCCGACCTTCGTCTTCAAGTTCCTGTTCCTCGCGATGGTTCCACATTCTCAGGATAAGTGTATTTGCTTCAAGATATTCTTCTCTCTTTTGCTCTGTTCCTCGAGCGGCTCTGGCAATTTGCGGTGGAGATACCTAATCTTCGATCGATCAATTTCGGTCGCAATCAAGTCCAAATTCACGGATCTAATTTTTTAATCACGAAATTTCCTATTCGATTACGCATTCACTCATCAGATCAAAGTTTATCGCGTAGGGGAAAGCGATAGCGATGGTAAAGATTAAGAAATCGATTTCTTGCCCTTCTTTCTTTCCTTTATTTTATAGCAATTTTAAGGATACATCCTTGGACTGACTTTCGTAGATTTGCCTATTGCTTTTGATTTTCTTTAATTTCTTAGCCTCCGTGCGATTGTCATTCGTAGCGGCAGCCAAAGCAATAGTTCGAGGCGGCTTCGATGTCTTCGTTCCGAGCGTTCCGAGCGTTCCTCAACAGTCCTGTTGGCCCTAAAACAACTCATTTTTGGGGACCTGCTGCAAACTTCGGTTTCGTGGTTGCTGTATGATCTGTTAATCTAATATTACAATATCTCGAGTCTTGATTTCTCATCTTCCTTTTTCAACTTCTTCTCTGTCTGTGGTGTCTTCTATCGCAGGGGCTGGCAGATGTGAAAAAGCCAGCCGATAAGATATCCGGCAAAATGACGGCAGGTTCAAAAAATTTGTGCTGTTCATGGTCGATTTTACCAAAATAAGTTATGTTCCACGGATGAACTCTTTTGAATATAATAAACCAGAAATTGTAACGAGTGTGTTGATTATCTGCAGTTTTGTGCGTCTATTCGCTGTCTGGCATGAGATTTGGATATATGGTTCGGCCTCGGAATTATCTGCTTATGGGATGCCATGCCGCGAATGAAACTGTTCAGCTCTATCTTCTCTCCCGTTGGGCGATGGGAACGAGGAAGAGTGTCAATTACAGCAACGAGTAGCTTCCTCTTCGTTTCAATGGCGGTATGAATATGATTACTCCATTGTTGCTGTTTCGAGTTACTGTTTCGAATTACTGTTTCTTATGTGTTACCCCAATACGAATCCCCAATAAACAAGTAGCCTTGAAAAAGAAAAATGCTCTGCTTATTTTGAATATACTGTTAGATTCAACGAATTCAATCTATATAGTCAGAGCCTTTTAATTTCATTTACTTGGAACAATATCATTCATAGTTCGTTATTGAATACAATTGTTCAGTTTTTTATCTCGACAGCTTAACTTTGTATCAAATTTATCATAAAGTCAATAAATGTTGGTAATCAATGTTTTCTATCACTAAGTTAGAAAATTAATCCTAAACAAACCAATGAATCAAATCTGTTTAAATAGCTTGACCTAAATGCAAAAATTTGATAATAAAAATATTAAAGCAACTTAATCACAACAATCATACAAATAAAAAAAAAAGCTTAAATTTTGATTCAAACGATAAAATTAATTGTATGTCAGTTAAAAGTGTTTAAAGATGGTAAAATTAATTGTGAAATAGAGTCGTGTTGAAGATTTTTATTTTTATTTTATTTTTATCGAACCAACCCATATCTTAATTTTAAATTTTTATTAGGATCATAATCAAAATTAAAGAAAAAAAAAGGAAAAAAAAGAGTAATGATGAAAGAGAGGGACGCCAAATCCAGCACATCGTCTTGCTGCCGTAAGAAGTCAAACAGACACGTGGTCGACGTCCCCATCAAACTTTCCTCACTCGCGGGTAAAACAAAACAGGAACCTAATATCACACGTTGCCGCGTCCCAGCGCGAGTTGCCACAACTCTGTACGCGCGAGAGTTTTACGGGTATTTGGATTAGGTTTAAGTTAGTGGCAATAATTTCTGTAAGAAAGACACCATCAGATAGATCTGAATCGGACGTGCCTGAACGGGTTTAGATACCATGCCTGGAATCTTTGGAGGGGAGGGAATGGACGGCCCAGATTCGTTTGCTAGCGGCGGGGATCGAGGCCAGCGGGCCTTTAAATAAGACGGAACCAGTCCAACAATCTGAGTTTCCGGCCTCAACTGTCTATTTCTCTCAGCAGTTCCCCATTCCTCTCTCCATCTCTCTGTAAAGGACGTTATCGTCTTTCCGGGGTTGGTTTGCTTTGCGAGCGACGGGCTCTGCTCGTGATCCAGGTTTCCAATGGGATTTCTACCAGCGCCTTCATAGAGTTCTTGCCTTTTTCGTGTTTCCTGCTCTGTTCTGATTTTTGGCGTAATTTCGTTTACTCCTGCTCGATCTAGGGTTTCGTTTCGAGGGGTTTATCTCATGATCTTGGATTATATTCTGCCTTTCATATATTTCGATTTTCTCTCCTTCTCGAATTTTCTTCTCCTTTTCATTTTGGGTTCTTCCGAAGGCGGAAGTATCTCTTAAGGAGTGAGGCTGATGTTTGCGACGGCAGGAGGTGATGGGCTGAGGAAGCAATTTTGTTTTCATGGAATATATGGTTATGTGGTCGAAGCTTCTGAGTTTGCCGGGATTTCAATTGCTTGGACTGAGCCACTGGATTTTTGTGGTTTGGGTTGTTTAGTCATTGTCTATTGTTTAAGTGACTTCTGGGAACTTGTCTGAACCTATTCTCTGTCAACCTGTTGATGTTTCAATTCATCCAGGGAGGAAATAGTGAATTTCTTTCACGAGCTTTGGGATTCCTTCAAATGGCAACCCATTCGTGCACTGGTCGACCACAGGACACCGTTGTTCTGATGAAGTATTAATCTTCCTAGATTATTTATCAATGTCAAAAGACCAAACTTAAAATTAATTCGTTGCTTGCTACAAACAAATAACTGCGCGCATATTTCTTTAAACCCGGACTTCTACATTGGGCGGAGCTTCAATTTTGATATAATATGGATTGGAATATCATAGTTCAGGTACAAAGTTTATGGTTGCAGTTGACTTGTGCAGTTGCTGGGAATTAATCCTATGGCACCGACTGTTCCTATTGAGTTTGCTGGACAGAAGGAATCGAGAAAGTACTCACTTTCACAGGTAATGGGGAAATCGAGGAAATATTCCAAAGGTCTTTCTTTTGGTTTTGTTCCAGATTACCGACATGCTGTGGAAACTGTTGGCGAATCAGAAGGGTTAGGGAGCTCTGGACGAATGGATACTGGAATCTCATCTCTAGATGATCCACGGGCCTTCAAGAGGAAGCGTGTTAGTATGAATGCAAATGGTTATGATTGTTTCGGTGCTCCTCTTCAAGTTTTTTCTATATCATCATTGTCTCGATCTGAAAGGAAAGGTTTAGAGATAAGGTTAAAGTTAGAACTTGAGCAGGTCCGAGTTCTGCAAAAGAAAGCTTCTGACGTTGGTTTGAGTTTGGCTGTTTCATCGTCGAGTAATATTCAGAGTTATAGTGATCAGCACAGGGGAGCTCCTCCAGAGACTTCTAATAGGTTGTCCGAGGTATCGGTTCCTCCTGCTAAAAAGCTAGTGCCCTCTGGGCGCAATGGCCCTTCAGCTGTAAGAAGCTCATCTGGGCGGTTTGAGTCGGTTAAACCAGCTGTTGTATCTGCTTCCTCGACAGCATTGTTATTGAAACAATGTGAACAGCTGCTGCCTCGCTTGATGTCGCATCAATTTGGTTGGGTTTTTAACACCCCAGTTGATGTGGTCAAGTTGAATATTCCAGATTATTTCACTGTTATAAAGCATCCAATGGATCTGGGCACTGTGAAGTCGAAGATTACTGCAGGAGAATACACACATCCATTGGATTTTGCTGCAGATGTTCGACTTACTTTTTCAAATGCGATGACTTACAACCCTCCCGGGAATGACGTCCATGTCATGGCTAAGACCCTAAGTAAATATTTTGAAGTTAGATGGAAAACTATAGAGAAGAAGCTCCCTGTAACAACTGAAGAACAGCGTCAAGTATCTTCAGCCACGATTGTTCATAAGGAAGCTGAAAGTACTCTGCCCGTGTCACGTTCAAAAAAGACAAAAGTCCCTACTAATAGCCCTGATATTCAGCCAAACAGTGTGTCAAAAATCATGACTGACCAGGAGAAGCATAAACTGAGTGTGGAGTTGGAGGCGTTGCTGGGAGAATTGCCTGAAAGCATCATTGATTTCCTAAAGGAGCACAGTTCTAATCCTCTAGCGGGTGAGGAGGAGATTGAAATTGATATTGATACTCTTAGTGATGATACCTTGTTTGCATTGAAGAAGAAATTGGACGACTATATAATGGAAAAGCAGAAACGCACAACGACTGAACCTTGTGTAGTGGAGGTGTATACATGTTTCCATTCTCATTTTCACGTGTTTATCATTAAAATTGCACTGATTATAATGACTTATTCAATGGCTTCTAATTGCTGTCATATTCTACTCAGCAGCTTCGCAATGAATCAGGATTGAGCAATTCATCGATGCCACCCTGTAGAGGTAATTCATGGATAGATATATGTTCAAAATGAAGGTTGATTTCCTGGATCTTCTAAATTTTCATTTTTCCCTTGTTAGGAAATGGTCGGATTGATGACGATGTAGACATTGTTGGTGGAAGTGACCCTCCTGTTTCAAGCTATCCTCCAATAGAGATAGAGAAAGATACAGTCCATAGAGATAGTAAATGCAGTCGTTCCAGTAGCTCGAGTAGTGAATCAGGTTCTTCATCAAGTGGTTGGTGTTGTTACCTGCCCCTAATTCATTTTCACTAATTTCTGGTGTTATCATTTAATTTTGACTGATAACTTTGAACCTTTTTATGCATTCTTCTATTCATTCTAAATAAAAAAATTTCAAAAGGATTTTTAACTTGAGCTACTGTTTCCTTGGGCAGTTTCTATTGCAAGGATTTCTTCTTTTTGAATTTAAGATTTTGGCGTGTTCGTAGTTATGTTAGATATGTATGACTGGACAATTGTTTTGTAATCTTCATTATTTTTTATAATATCAATCTGTAATATAACTTGACGAGTCTCTCTCTCATGCCAAATCTAAAAGTATTCTGCTGTTTAACCATGCAGATTCTGGCTCAGATAGTTTATCGGCGAGTGAATCTAATGCTGCTAAAGCTTTAGATAATGACGTGGCTCCAAAGGTATTGAAAACCCAAAAACTTTCATTGTTTAGGACTACATGGAGAATGTTTTCTTTTCTCCCTTTCACGCATTACCTTTTTTCTTGACCAAATATTTTCACATCTCAAGGGGAAATCAGTGGTGTGGATTAAGGAATTTAATTTGGCAGAGTAATGCAATTAATGGTGAGGCAAGGGCATTGGATGTGTGGTTCTATGATTTTAGAAGTGAACTTTGAAGGACAAATAGATCTTATTAGTAATATCAAGGATGTTATTGAAAATAAGCTTTAGTATATCTATGTTATTACCAAATTATCATGTCGCTATTGTGATTTTTTAATCGTAATTCTTTTATTTAAATCGAGGGGAATAGATTCCTCTTGGCTTTTGTGTTTGATGTTTAATGGGGTCATAAGATGCATATAGTCTTAACACAAAATGCTACTTTATTTCTACGACCAAGTTTTCTTTATTATAATTATTTTTAAAGAAAAATTCTGTGTGTTGCAGTATTATTGCATATAATTTCGGTAGCTTACATAGGATTTAGAGAATGTTCTATTTCCTTATGTGCATGGTAGACGACTCATGGATGGTCGTGACTTTTCTCTGCCCTATCAACTGTTTTCTTAGTTATGCGATCCTAATTAGATTTTGGGAGGATGCATGCAGAGGGGAGGGACTTGATATTCTTCCAAACTTTTCATTTTCTTTTATTTTCGTAGTATCATCGGTCTTTTGATTCCAATGGGCTACTCGTAACAATCCTTTTGAGCTTAGTGCATAGTGTAGATAAATCAGCTGATCATCTTTGTCTATTCAAATCATTTCGTTGCTTAGTGAAAAGTTAGGGAGAGAAGTTGATTGAGCTAGTGTTGTTTAGAAGAAAACCCTCCAATGGAGCTCATAATAACACTGTTTATTTACTCAGGGACTATGGTTTCTAAACTATATATTATAGAAACTCAAAACAAGACATGAGATTTTGCTATTTCAAATATTTCTCCACAATTTTCTCTTTTTATTTGAAAATTCTATTGTTTCCCATCATATAATTTTAAGTACGATTTTATAACATTAGACTAAAGCTTCCTAGCCCTCGTTTTGAAGGGTTACGTCATAGCCAGTTGAAGCAAATTTCTTCCTACACAGTTGTGAGGGAATCCAGGACAGTCTAAAAGTATCTAGTTAGAGAGCACGAAACACAGAATTTTCTTATTTTAAAAGAACAAAGGAAAAAGAGATGGTCTACTTCTTTATGTGCTTCCGAACAAAGAGAACATGGAGA